CAAAACGCCGCCCGCACTTATAAGCTGCCCCAAAGGGCCCTAAGATGCACCGATGGTCAAATGACAATTATAGTGGTGGCATTTACATACATGCCACCCAATTCCTATATATTTACATAAAAACTTTTGAATTTTACTTTTTAACATTTATACCATCAAATCATTCATATCATATCAAAAATATCATTATTAAACTTTTAAAAATTGAAATGCACATTTTTATATATAAATAAATTTTATATAAATACATAAGAATTAAGTGAGCTATATGTAAATATTCCTTATAAATATTCCTTCAATTTTTCATTATAGTAAAGATTTAATACCACTTTTGATGGTTTACTTAGTCTTAAATATATTTTAAAATAAGCCTCAAATAATTATAAATTTTAGTTTAAAATATTACCTCTAAAAATTATAAATAAATCCCAAATGATTATCAATTTTATTATAATTAAAATTGAGTTAAAATATTATGAATTAATTTTTGAGCTATTTTATATTTCTAAGCTGCATATTCTAACTCGTTTATATTTTCATACATAGGTAAGTAGATGTGTGTAAAATTTGAAGCTTAGTGGTTATAAATATAAATACATAGGAATTAAGCGGTATGCTCGTAAATCTTCCTTTTTCTCACATATGTGATACATACTCATGCATGAAAAGCTTAATTTGAAAAGTTTCTGTATGATATGAATATTTTGAGGGTTATAAATGTAAATGGTGGAGCTTAAGTGTAAGATATTTAAATTTAAGGATTAGGTGGGGTTTGAACAAAATTATTAGACTAGATGGTTATTTCTTTTGCAAGGATCCCCCCAAAGTGACTTACTATGTTGCAAGCTTGTCATATAGTATATTAATTTGAGTATTTTTCATGAAAGCCTAAGAAAAATACTCAAATTATCCCCAATGTCCCTTCAAAACAATGCTTCAAATTTTATAGAACTCGGGCTAATAGATAGATTTGTAAGACTTTAAAAACCTTAGAATTACAAAAAAAATAGCCCATGTGACAATCTAGGTTTTTTTTAGAACATCTAAAGTTTTCTTATTTACACACATATCATTCAAATCTTTAATATTATTGTTATTTTTTAAAATGTAAAACACACTTATTCATGCATACGTTTAAATAACTAAAATGATTTAAGGCGCTATTCATGTAAATAATAAAGTTTAGGGGTGTGATATGTAAATACAAAAGAATTGTGTGCTGAGTAGGTAAATTTCTCGTTAATTTTATATACAGCTCAAGTCATCTCAAATAAATTAACCAGAGTACAAGACTAACTCATTGTAAGAAGAAGCCTAATGCAATATATAATTATATGGTGAGTGTCGCGTTCTCAGGTCAGTTGGTAGAGCATCCGCTTCGGTGATGCAAGTCCTCTTTGATCAAGGGTTCAAATCCTGCCTCTGACGAAAATTGTCTTCAGGAGGGGGTATTCGATTAGGCGTATTGGTCGCCCCCAGACCTGACAGGGGTTAAGCAAATATGATGGGTTGGGGATCTCACACCCCCGACCCATTCTTATATATATCAACTGAATATTTACAAAATTAGAACCCTAAACAATGAACCTTCTTTATTCTTCAAAAAAAATATTACGCAACAATCATAAAATTCAAAAGAAAATAATTAAATTGTGTCGATCTTGCAAAAAATATATATCATTTAAATATTTACAAAATTAGACATAAGCGATTAGGATTTTACAAACAAAAAGGCAATTTCAGTTGATGGAAAGTCGAGTCATTTTCATGGCTTGTTTGGGGACTGGGGAGGCTTCGACGGCTTAGTACCATCAATGGTTGGTGGTAAGGTGGCCCCATTTCGCTTCTCATACTCTTGTTTCAGCTCTGCTAATCTTTTCGTGACCTGCAAGCAAAATATTATTAAATATTGATTTTATTTTTTAAAAAATAATATTAGATAACCAAAGCTGTAGCCTCTCTGTTTATATTCCTAAATTTGTAAATTAGATTGCTATTTCTTATGTAATAATGGTTCCAAACAAAGTATCATATCATGTTGCAAAAATGTCATATAAGTGAAGCTAAAAGACATCATTATGAAAATCTAAGAAAATTTTTTTTGGAATTATGTCAAATGTCAGGGTCAATTGTAAAAAAGCTTCAATTTTTACGGAGAAAAAAAAGATAAAA